GATAGGTAAAGACATCTTTGACTGGAGTTGGAAATAGAAACTCCTGAGGTTTCAGTTCTCCAATCAAGTTTACAAATGAGTAAAACCAAGTAGCTCCAACAATTTGAGTTCAAGACTGAGCATATGCAAGAAATAGAAGAAATAAAGCAGAAGTGGTCAGAGCAGATGGAGACTCACTCTCACTTGAGAGTTGTTGGCTTGAAGACAAATATGCTAATGAGTTTTCCCTACTAGGAGTCAGTATTGATAACAAAAACAAAAAATGCACTTATTTCACACTTCACAATTTACCACCCCCGTTCAAAACACTGATTTCCTTACAACAAAGCTGTTGGATAAGTATGGCTGTCTCCTAGATAAGGAACAACAGGTTTGGGGCCAGTTTAGCAACTTAAGTAATGACAACAAAGTAATTTAGTTTTGAAGCCAGGTTCCCAAGGAGCTTCCTTAATGGAAGACCCATATATTTGAATACACTGTGCTATTTTCTGAGCCTGGATTTATGAATAAACTCTCCTCCTACTTCATTCTTAACCTTTATTTTAAATTATGCATATAAATTACAAGACAGAAAATTGCTTGTTGTTTGCCTAGGCCTCAGGATCTTTAAATGAAGTCTTACTTTCTTCTATCCTAAGCAGTAAAAAGTAATAGAATCCAAGTTATTTACCCAGGCTCTGAAAGAATTAAGTGACAGGCTTTCTACTTACAGGTCACAGAATAAAGAGCTCTTTCAAATGAACACTGTCATACTATTTTAAAATGAAAATTCACCTGTGTTGCTTAAGCAGATATGATTAAATAAGGCTATTTTGTAAATGGTGAAGTATACAACTAAATTCATTTTTCATAGTATAATCAATGATGTAAATTGTTTGTTTCCCCTGAGCATTTCAGTTGCTGTAAAACTACATGTTATTAATTTTAGAAGATACATGTAAAGGTCATACTAAATTCTCAATGATTTTTAATCAAGAATTGGCTGGATTTTTTTTTTCCTTTTCTGTAGTTTAGATGAATACACATAGTGTAACAAAGCTAGGATATCAATTTGCTGACAGTTTGAGTCTGAATTCTGCTGTCTCTTCATCTCTTCAGTATGAGTTACACTGCAGACCTCTGTAAATGCAATGCAGCAGAAAACCACATGTTAGCCATCAGGGTTGAATTTTTTGTTCTGGGCCATGGAGAGGCTACCCATCAGTGCATAAAGGTCTGTCCACCTGGCCTTTTGGATCATAGTTCAGGCACACAATTAATTCATTATGAGGTAAGTCACTGCTTGCTTTTGAACTAGTCTTTCCAACTTTGGAGGTGAATGTCCTGTCACTGACCTGAAGAAATACCTCTACTCTTTCAAACTCCATTAAATCACATTTCCTTCTGTTTTGTTTTTTTTTTTTTTAATGGTGGGGGTAGGAAAAAGGAAAGGTTTGTAGTGACAGAAATGTTCAACAATTAACTGAAAAGTTAGAACATTTAAGCAGATAATTGTGAAAGGAAAGATTTTAGGAATTTAAAACATTGTAAGCAAACCCTAATTTACATTCTCCATTGTATGTATTTTGAAATTTAAAGATGTGGGCATACAATCTAGAGCACAATATAAAAATTTTAAAGAAAACTATTTCACATTATCCATTTATCTCTAATCTCACACACATATATTTCTTGTTTCTTTACATTGTACTAAATACTACACACATACATGCTTTTATAATGAAGGAATACATGTACCTTCCTTTGCAATAAGGGGCCACATTACTCCCCTTCCTTTCTCTTGGGAGATAAACCACTATGTTAAATTTTGTGTTCATCACTCCCTTGCCTTTTAAAAATATATTTTTACTACATATGTTTTACACATCAAAATACTCCACTCCTCTTTCTGAACATAATAAAATATTATCAAGCTGCAATTGGTCTTCTGTATCTTTTGCAACACTAATGATGCATTTCTAAGAACCATACATGCTGTGAATATAGTTTTGTGTGTCAATTTCATTTTTAAAGGTGACAAATTTATCAAAAATTATAACCCATGGGCCTCCCCGGTGGCGCAGCGGTTGAGCGCTGGGTTGCGAAGCTGCCCGCGGCCTCTGCGGCGCTGGTTCGATCCCCGGCTGCTCCCCGGCCACCGGAGGAGGGTCCCACGTGGCGCGCAGACCTCTCCTGTGGCCCGCTGCTCCCCTCAGCAGTGTACTTCGGTCCTTCTGCCTGCTCTGCTCCCTGCTCTGGCTCTGGTGAATTCTCTCACCCTCCCGCGCTTCTGACTGTACCCAGTGCATGTATAAATGAATGAACAAACAAACAAATAAATAAATAAATAAAAAACATGCCTCTATAAAAAAAAAAAAAGAAAAAAAAATTAAAAAAAAAAAAAATTATAACCCAGATCCTTTTCTACAATTATGGATAATTAAATTGCTCAAACTGAGAGGAAATGGCAATCTAAAAGAATTTTAAAATTTTGTTGACTGTGTTGTTCTTGTCATGGTAATGGATTACCATGTTCCAGAAAAAAGACCAATATTGATACATAATTGCATTAACAGAAATACAATGTTTATAAAAAAATAGTTCATGAATACTACGTATATTATAGTCACAAATATATGGGGAAGTATTTATTCTACCGGGTATCATGTTTTAGGAAGGATAGTGAAAAAAGAGGATGAGGGACAAAATGATGGTCAAAAGTAAGAAATAGATGAAGGACCTGGAGATAATATGGAGGCCTGAACTGTTATTTGCAAGTAGCTAAAAGGCAGTCAGAAGAGTTCTTTTTGGAAAGTTGAAGGAAATATTTGAAATCTAGAATGAAAATATATTCCACAAGGGAGGACTTACATTTTTTTTTTCTAGACACCTAAGATCATTATAAATTTGTGGTACTTCAAACCAAATTAAAAGTTCGGGTTATGTGAATTTGGGCTCCACCACTCCATGCAAGAGCTCACCTCTGGGTTTCCCTGGTGGCGCAGCGGGTTGAGCACCACGCTGTGTAGCTGTCTGCAGCCTCTTCAGCACCGGTTGGATTCCTGGCCAGCCGGGAGAAACCCACATGGTACGGCAGACTTCTCCTGTCTCCCCCGTTACTCCCTTCAGCAGTGTCTTCGGTCTGTCTGCCTGTTCTGTTCCCCGCTCTGTTTCTGGTGAACCCTCCAGTGCATCTGGCCTGTACCCCAGTTCTTGTATAAATAAATAAATCTTGAAAAAAAAAAGTAAAGAGCTAGCCTCTGAGGGAGAGATTCTGTTCTTGGTCCGGTTCCCATGAAGACACCTCTCGGGGGGAAGGGATGGGATGGGACTCACCAATGCAGCATAGATATGGGCCTTGGGGATCTTGCCTTAGTGTTTAAAGGGTCTAATAATCTCTTATCCTCCTTTCTCAGTACTGGGTGTTGTCTTTTATCTCCTGGGTTTTGTGAGATCCTGAAAACCCAAACTTATAACTCAAGTACACAATATCCTCAGGGTAAAAGTAACTTCACTGGTTTTCATTCTCAGCTTACCAAGGTTAACCTCTGGGTTTCTGCATTCAATTATATTTTGACCTGATAATTTTAAAATTTATAAATAACTGCTTCTTGATATTTTGACTAAGGTCAAGTGTAAAATTTATAACTAATTTATTGTAAATATGCTTATGTATATGTGAGAGTGAAATTATAGACACAGATTTAAGCATAAAGTACAGGAGACATTTCTGTAAAACAGGTTAACTGTTCAAAATCAACTGGCTTGTCTCAGGAGACAATGAAGTGAATTTCCTATAATGAGATGTGTTCTAGTAGAAGTTTGATTCATCACATATAAGGAAAGCTACAGATGTGATCTAAGAATCAGAGATTTGATCTGCCCCTTTCTGCATCAAAGAACTATAATTCTATAAAATACAAAGAAGCATTTCACAGTTACATATAAGAAGTTATGGACCAGCTTTCCTTGCATAGAGCAGTGACTGGTAAGGAGGTCTTGTTACGATAGGAAAGAAAAACTTAAAATTTCAGTGTGTAGATGGTGAATTGAAAGCAGTAGATTCTATAAATTACCTGTTGCCTTTGCTTAGCCTAATACAGACTACATAGACAAATTCTTGTTGTCCCCACACTTATTTTCCTCTTAATTTTCTATCACTGATTTTAATAAGTCATGTGCTAGAAAAAGCAAATGCTATTAATGTTGATTACATACAATCAGAGAATAAGAAATTGTGTTCTTTTTAAGACCTATTTCCCTGAATTGCTCATTCTTCAAGGACAGAGTTCATATTTTATTCATCTTTATATCCCCTATTACCAGGCAAAATGACTTGCACATAGTAGGTCCTCAATAAATGCCTAATCTTTGCCCCTCAAAATGATAAAACACACCTTGCTAGGCTATCCTTTTTTTAAAAAAAAATATTTATTTATTTATTTTGTGGAAGAACTGGGGTACAGGCCAGATGTGTGGGGGAGGGGTGAGAGGATTCACCAGAGACAGAGTGAGGAGCACAGCAGTGGATTTACTGAAATACACTGCTCAGGGGAGCAGTGGGTGAGAAAGGAGAGGTCTGCTGTGCCATATGTGGTTCAGCTCCCTGGCCTGGGATTGAACTCAGACTGTTGAGGTGATATTGCTGAGACTTAATTCCTAGGCCAGCAAGAAGGTCCTGCTAGGCAATTCTTTGAGAGGTTTTCATAAAGTTTTTACTTACTGATAGGCCTATAGACTATCAGAATGATCAAAAAGAAGGATAACTGAGATGTACAACTGTTGGGCAGTATATACTCAACATCACTAATTTTATCTGAGGATTACATTTTAGTATACTTCAGTCCTGATTATTGTCCAATCTTCATAAATAAGATCAAGTTTACTCAAACCCACACATTATAAACGTGTAAGAAAAATAAGAACAGATGGCTTTAAGCTTCAATTTAGAAACATCACTTTGTTTTAGGGATCTAATAGAGGATTTAACTTTAAAAGAACCAAAATAATAAGAGTCTTACCTCAGCATGAGGATTAGGTGGCAAAACTGAAGTCTCACTTTCGGTAACATTTCCAGTTGGCCCATTGTTTGGTGAACTGGGCCCAGATCCAGGAGAACTGCTACTGACTGAGGATTCTGAAAAATATTATGAAGTACAAATATATTCATAAAAATCTTACACACTTTAATTACATGGCAAATAATATAGCACACTGAACACTGTATTCCCTCCACCATGTGAATGACAAATACTATCTAACCAAATAATAAAAAGGACTGTGAAAATTTTTGGAAACTTTCTGAATTTTCATACCACTTTTTCTTTTTTTTATTTCCACTGCTAGAAGTACAACATAATATTCAATAGTTCCTAGAGAATTAAAATAGAGAACTTCATGATGAGGAAACCAAGTAAAGAAGGGAATTTTCTTTTACTTACTGTTGTGCTACTGTAAAAATAACAAAAATTTAGAAAATGGGCTTTCATAGTTATATATAAAAATATGTCCTCATCACATGAGGCCCAGAGTCATTCCTATTGCAGGTGAAAAAGAACATTTATAGCTTGTTATAAATTGTACTTTACTTGATTTACTAAGGCTGTATCTTATTTACAGCACATCTTAGTCAAAGATTTTTGAAGAAAATAAAATAGAATGGAAATCTCAAAATGGTACATCTTGTAACTTTAACTCACCCAACTTATTTCCCAGAAGACAAGTTGCCTGAAATTAATATATTTTTTTTTAAAATGCCCAATAGTTTCCTTTCCATCCCTTAAAAATTGTAAAGGAGCTCTCCAAACAGAAAAAAAAGTTAGTAAAAGAAGTCTGGGGATTGCAGACAGAAGCAGAACAAAGAAATGGGTTAAATGGGGTAAAAAGGTAAATATAGTACACCATTATACAACTTGTGCAAAAATGAAACTTTTCCTTTTAAGCCCAGGAAGAAGACAAGGATGCCCACTTCATCGCTTTGTTTAATTTAGTATTAGAGGTTTTATCTAGCACAAGCAGACAACTGGAGTAAAATGAATACAAGTTGGAAATGAAGAAGTGAACCTATTGTGATTTGGAGATGATATGATACAGTATATAGAAATCTCTGAAGACTCCACCAAACTTTTAAAAACAATGCTCAGCAATTCAGCAATGCGAGAGGTTACAAAACCGATGTACAAAAATCTGTTGGAATTTTATATGGTATGTTAAATTTCAAACATCAATATACAAGAAACTTATTTTAATAAAAATAAGTTAATACAGATTATTCAATTAATCTTTCACCTTTGATATCAAATTCACAAGCATTTCAATTTATGGAGTTAATGCACTTATTAAAATAGCTAATTAACAGAAATATAAAGTTCCAATTTCTAAAAATATAAGTAAGAGAGGTCATCTTATCAAGCCTTGGTAAATTATTTATTGAACTCCAATTAAGTTCTTTTCACCTACTACAAATTCATTGAACATTTTTATACGCATCTCATCCTTATAGCTTGTTAATTCAAGTCTGCACAAAGGATCTTGCCTTGTATTAGTAATTTTTCTTTTTACCTCATGAATTTTATTATCCATACTCTCCTCCAATTAAAGATAAAGCATTTCTCTATCTTTTTTCTCTCCATTGCTAACATATTCACTTTTATCCCTGATCCCATTTCTAGAATTTGCTTTGTTAATTCTTTGATTTTTATTTATAATTTTTTACATCGTTGCTCATTTTTGTACAGTTTGATTTCTCTTAGGTGTTGCCCCCTAAAATTCCCACCACCAAGACACCTATGAACCATTCCCATAGACTCTTGCGATTGTCCCTCCCATTTTGATAGCTCTCCCTTTCCCTCTCCTGCTGAATTTCTCTGTTAGTTTGCTTGATAGTTTTTTTTTTTTTTCTGATCCTTTGTATGGTTTACCTATGTTCCTCCAATAAGTAAAACCATCCAATATTTTTTTTTTCTTTCTGTCAATTATCGAGTCTTCATGCTTTCCTTATACATTGGAGCCATCCCTCTAGTCTGAAAGCATACTCATGTCTACTCATCCATTAAGATTCCTGGTAATCTGTCTTATTCATTAGTGACTATAACTGCTTGCCCAAACTAACTTTGACATTTTCCTTTCTACAGTAACATTCTCCACATTCAAGTCTATCTTTCTATCTCTTTCGCTTGTCCTCTTTTAACCAATTCTTAAATGTAGACATTCACCTAAAGGTTTTTTGCCTTATCCCTCTCCTCCTTCCTTGTCAAAAACAAAAACAAAGCAACACCTCAATATTATGAGACCGAATTCTTTTCTAAGAAAAATACTCTCATGAAACTTACATTTCTTGCCTTTATAGCTCATAAATTCTGATCTGAGTCCCTTTGGAATGCTGGACATTCTTAACTTCCCTTCACCTGTATATTAAATTCAATGTATTCCAATATTAAATGTGCCCTGCTTATCACTCTCTTTCAAGTCATTTTCACTCCCTTCCTTTCCCCAAATTGAATCAGTTACTAGGTTCTTTCATTTTGTTTTTCACATGATCTGCCATCTATTTTGACTATAATCATTTTCATTTAAGCCCTCAGTCTTCATTATTCTTTCATAGACTATAGAAAGCCTGCTAATATTTCTTTTTTAAAAAAAGATTTATTTTATTTATTTATATATACAAGAGCTGGGGTATAGGACAGAGGTTCAGAGGGCCAGTGAGAAGATTCATCAGAGCAGAGCAGGGAACACAAGTGGATTGACTGAAATACACTGCTGAGGGGAGCAGGGGTGAGACAGGAGAGGTCTGCTGTGCCATGTGGGTTGCTCCCTGGCTGGGAATCAAACTCATGCTGTAGCGGCTGGCAATAGCTTGATAGTGCTGAGTCTTAACACCTTGTGACGCAAGGGAGGCCCTCTGCTACTATTTCTGAGTTGCTACAGAGTCTTTCAAACCTCTCCTCCCAAATATTGCCAGAATAAAAATTCGGAGACAACTTTCACAATAGTCCTCTGCTCAAAAATGGAGCCTAACATTATTTCCTTTTGTTATCATTTCTATACTCTACATTAAGTGAAATTTAAATAATTTATTCTGCTGAAAGGTGCCACTTTCCCATTTTATGCTTTTCTACCCTCCTTTTTCTCCACCTACTTCACTGCAGGTCTGATCCCACCTCTAACTTAGCTCAAAGTTTGAATCATATACATTCTGTCTCCCAGAGAATAGAAACTCCCAATTTGTAGGCTATATTGTTTGCCCTCCCTTAGAAAACATGTAGCTTTCAAATTTCTACTATAAATATTTCTGTACTCAACTGTACAGTGCTAACAGAAAGAATACAGATCGTAGATAGAATTTTGATCCTACTAGTGTAGGATTTCATCAAGCCATTGTAATTTACAATTCTTAAACATATCTAGCTCAATGCCATTCTTCCTATGTATGTTACTTACAATTTGATTAATCTGCTTTTTTATATGTGTATGTTTCTTGCTTACTTTCCTTTTAATCAAGGAAATATAAATTTAAAAAACCCTTCCAGGAGATAAGACTAAGTACAGATTTCTATTGTTGTGTTAATGTCTTTTTTTTTTTTCAAAAAAATAGATTTTCTTGAATATTCTGTCTTGCTAATTAAAAAAAATATTTTTATGTGATATCCGGACAAAATTATTTCCTTATGTAGAAATTGCTGATATGTATTAGGAAACAAATATTGCATGAGGTGAGATTTTGTAAGAACACTGAGAAAATGTCCGAGAAGAAATATTGCTAAGTAGAGTTTGAAGAATTGTTCATGAAATGGGGACAGCAGAGTGGGAAAGAGTGGAGAAGACACTACAGGAACACAGAGGTGCTTAAGGCTTAAATGTTAAAAGAAAATGGCTTTTTGGGTGGAGGAGCAGAAAACACTTGAATTTGGAAAATATGTTAAATGGTGCCCATGTGAATTAATAGGAAGAGAGGTGGCATGGAGTTGTAAAAACAATCACTTCAACTTATGAAATAGGAAAAAAGATTCAGAGATAAGAGAAGAAGAGCAATGCTTATTTGATACTATGGTGGTCTCTGACTCACTAGCAAAAATAATTAGTATTGAGAATCAAGGAAAGCTCATCCAAACTAGATGAAAGCTGGCAGAGAAAGGTGAAGAAATCTGTGTGTCTGATAATTCAGACCTTCCAAAAACATTTAAGGTAAGGGTCACATACTGCTTTAAAATATCTACCAAACATTCATTGTACCAACTCACTGACCAAAATTGTGTATCTATAATGCACAAATCCCTCTTTGGATATACATCATTTCCTCTGATGAAAAGGTGAGTCTTTATCTTGCAAAATTAGGATGAGAAAAATATGGTATTTCAAAAGTAAAGAAACAAACTAAACTAACAAAGCATAACTCTTAGAAGTGAAAATCATTTTTCAGAGAGATACTGAACTAAAGTCCATTGCAATTTGGTTAAAAAGTATAACTGATCACGGAAGAAAGGTTATGATCAAGAAATGAGAGTAACAGAAAAATATAAATGAGCACTTGGGATAAATATGGCCTTAGAAATTAAGATTCTAAGACAAATACATAGCAATGTTTATGTTTTTCTGTTTTCTTCAAGTTTTTCTATAAGGAGGGAATATATTTCTCCGATAAGAAAAGCCACCTCTATCTATTTACATTATTTTTTACATTCATTGAAAGAGATTCACTTTTCAAATCTACCCCAAGGAACTCTAGAATGAAAGCTTAAGAATCTTACTTACTTAAATACAATAATGTATTTCAAACAAAAGTCTGTAGTTCCAAATTTAGGTAGCATTCAATTGGTCTGAGTTAGCAATTATATATGATATTAAATAATTTTATGCAATTTATTAAACATTTCTTAGCCCTCAAGAAACAATTTTCCATTTAATCATTAATACTTTTTCTTTAGATAAGCATATTAATTTGTCAGGATTGAACAGCAGACTATTTTTTTTCCTTAAATACCTGTAAAACCTCTAAATGACAGTAGTATTCTGTACCTTCCCATCTCACCTCTACCATCTTCCCCATATTGTCTCCCAAAACAGACACCTGCCTTGTCAAAGAAGATGTAGGCAATAAATAACTTTTTAAAAAAAATGTTGAGTGTAAGAGTGGATCAGAAATAATGTAAACTGACTACATTGGCTATAAGCCCAATTCTCCTTGAGGATGGAGAAAAACAGTTGCGCATTATCACCTCTTATTGATGCAATCAAATAAAATAAATAGATAAAATGTATAGCTCTAAGCAGGTATTCAGTAAACAGTAGTCAGTATTATTATTTTGTCTAGACATTTTGGGTCTTTTATCCCCAGGACTTCTCTAATCGCAGACCAGGTACAACTGGGACTAAGAGACTTTGTAAGACATCATGTTGAATTTCCTAACCTGTTCACCCCACTACTACCCAGGCAGCTAAAAAAATAAGAACTCTTCCATTTGAGACTAGTGAAAATGACAGTTTCTTTCCCTTTATAAAAGGCAATATATCCCCCCTCCTGCCATAAGTCCCAGTTCACTAGTAAACACATAAAGTCATTTATGAGTTCTGTAAATTTGTTGAAAAGTCAAGGTTTTGCTGTTCCACATAGTTTAATTTTCCCAGATGTATTTTGTACATTCATGTCTGAGTATGGGGGAAGTGTTCTTCTTGGACCTCCCTCTGCTCATTTCCGATCAAATTTCATTAAAAGTTATATTCTCCTGGTTGGCATTCCCAAAATGGACTGCCTGTTTCTGAAAAGATTAAGGTGAGCTTTGGCGGTTCCTAGTTATACATAGATTGACACATAGTTCTGTTTTTTTCATTCATTTCCTGTTCAACACAGTTGGTGAATGCATGGCAAGGTTCATTGAACTAATTGTGAGTTTTCAATATAATTTCCTTATAAGAAATGTTTCTTCTCAAAATAACTTTTATATGCAGCAGGCATATTTATTCTAAACTATTATTTTTTCAGTCCTACTACCAACATTTGTTAGTGTGTCTGCCCAATCCTCAATTACCTGTCACCTCAAACATTCGCTTCTTGAATGAAGTGACAACATTTCCATCCTTCCGCCTGAGTAAGGGGCTGCTTCTCCTCTCTGCCACTTTCTGTTTTAACCTGGACCGCACCTTCAAGTTGGGCTCAGAGGCTGGGGATTGAGACAAAGAAAATAGATAAAAATTAAAAAATAGAGAGCCATTTGCTTCTGTATATATGAAAAACGGCTCACCTTTTTCTTGGTCCCTTCTCATCTCAAGTTAAAACCCCAAGCATGTAAATAAGGCATTGACTTTAAATTAATTAAATAAACACAGATGATAATTATTTTTATGAACCATGTGAAATGCTTTTTTTTTTTTACTTATTTTAAATGTGAAAGTGGAAAGGAGTAAAAATATAAATTTTCTCTTCATTTTTTCTAGCAGAAATAGGATTTTTAATGGGGAGTCAAATTACTAAATATATTTGGTTTAGAATAAGATTTATTATATTTCTTTGTCAGATCTCTTAAATCTTTCAAGAGCAAAACTCAATAACCACAAAAACAGTAGCTTAATGTGATATTCGAGACTCTAAGCTTATTTCTTACATGAAGACACCACTGTAGTATATAATTTATGCCTAATCCTGACCTCTTGAATATTTCTTTATCAGTTGTTTCTAATCTGAAACTCTAAGAAAATATACTTATTATAAAAATACCAAACAAACTAGAATCATTACAAATAAATCTTTCTATGCACCGAATATACAGTTAACCAGAAAGGAAGTATAACCAAATCTTAGAATTGAAATTTCTGCATTAGTTCATATGTTCCAAAATATACATTATTCATACATGTGTTACTTCTTTGATGAAACTATTCTAAGTAGTGCTACTCTATAATTACTCATTATTTATTAGGCTTTTATGTAACTATATTTCAGAAGAATGGAAACACTGGATTGGGCTCCTGTAGTAGGAATTGATGATGATAACGGTGGTGGTGATAGAGATGATATTCATGATGAAGAGGTTTATGGAAAGGATGTTTCTGACACAACTAACATTTAAATAATGCTGGCTATGTTCCACTACTATTCTAAATGCTTTGTCAGTATTAGTTGGTTTAACCATAACGACATCCATAGGGGATAGATACTATTTATACCTGATTATATCAATGAAGAAATCAAAACACTGAAAGAGGGTAAGTAACTTGCCCAAAGTCACATACATAAAAGGGGATGAAGCCAGTTCTGTACCCAGGTAGTCTAGTTCAAGTCTATTCTTACTAAAAATACTGTTCCTCCACCTTATGTGTGAGCACTGAATAATAATCATAAAACTGTTTTTTCCAAATGAAGAATTATTAACCATGTACATCAGATACAATGTTAAAATGGAACTAGAATTTTTGACTAGAGAAATATTTTCTTTGAGACAATTTTATATTTTTGCTAGAGTACAAGGATATTAAAATTGGTACTTTTCTTTCTCAGTTTTTTTTTTTAGACTTCAAATATCTATACTTTAGTATTTTCTTTTTCTCTCCTGTGAAATATTAAGTTGGACTTAGAATCCTTGCATTCTAGGGTTTTTTGGAACTGGCTGGGCAAAATAGGAACTTGAAATACTCAGTTACAAATAAATAAAGCAAGGTTGATTTTTGTTGTTGTTGTTGAATACCTAATTTTATATCTGATAATACTGAAAAAGGAAAAAAAAAACAGGGTCATCAAAATATTGTAAAAGTAGAAAATGGGTGGGTATGGGCAGAGTTTGGTACAGGGAATAGGAAATTCAGTATAGTAGAGACCTCAAGTATATCATTTTCTGGGCCTCACACCTTTAGGCAAAAAAACATGAGAAGAATTAAGTTTCTTTTCAGACCGTCCAGGAGTGGCCAACTACCTTATCTTAGAGAAGAAGTTTGAATTTTAATTATTAGCATCCAAATGACCCAGGATTAAAGGGAGAAAATGGTACTGCTTAATTTATTTAGATTTGTTTCCCTGTTTATATTTACTTTAAAATTCCTTTAAAATAACCAATTTCATTCTCTAAAAAGGTATTATTTAATACACATATTTATCTAAAGCCTAGAAAGGAATAAATGAGGAATCACTATGTGCTAATTCTATTGGTATTCTATTGGTATCTATTGGTGTTGTATTGGTAGCCTTGTTTATAATCCTAAAACAAAAATCCCAGATTCTCAATCTTAGAACTAGACTGGACGTTGTGATGAAACTAATGGATTAAAAGCTGCAGAGTGCCTGTTGAGAAAGAATAAATCAATTCATTAATCATTTCAAAAGACAGAGTAGTGAAAGCACTATGTCTTCAATGAGAAGATGTAGCATTGAGTTCACATGCACCACATCCGAGCTATGGGATTTTCATTGTAGATGACTGCATTCTACGCCTGACTCTTAACTTGTGAAACATGACATCTAACACTTCCTTGCTTCATAGAGTTGAGGCCACCTGATTAGGTACCTAAGAGTAAATATGCAAATCTGGGTCAATGCAAATAGGAAGAAAATATTTACAGTATTTTTATTATTGTTATTATGGCTGAAAGTTACACAGCTATGAATGAAAGAGCCAGCACTGGGTCCCTGGTCTCCCAATTCTCAATCCAGTCCTCCCCCCTCTCCTGGTATATCACACCAGCTGGGGCTGAGTTTCTACAATCAAGACAAAAATGTGCCAACGGCTTGGAAAAACAGCATATGCCATTTAAATATACTACATGAAACCTAGAATTCTACAAGTTATTAAAAAATGATTTTTTTCAGGTTGGCAGAAAGCTTTCAATCCTATGTTTGAGAATGGGTTGGATATACAGCTATCACAGTTCTTTCAATGGTCAGCATAAAAGAGTGAACACCAAAAATAGGAATGAGTGTTAGTCTCTCTGGTCTTGCATCTATCTACTACTAAAACTAATAACCTTGAATAATTTATAATCTCACTGAGAGTTAGTTTATTCATGCAAATGATCTAGGATGATACTTTTGCAAAGCATGGAGTCCAAGAGATGTGAATTTCAATGCTTGCTCTACACATTAGCTATTTGGCTTTAGGTGAACCTCAGTTTTTCATGTTAAATATGAATGGTTTTATTTTTAAATTTCTCCAATTGTCCTAACACATTCTATGCTCCTTCTTTCTCAGAGCTCATGGAGGCTGAATCCTAAGATTGTATCACTGTAGTTCTTTGCTGGTTGGAATTTACTGAGACTCAACTGATTGGTAGGACTGGCTAGTGATCAAAGGATTAAGGGAGAAGGAGGGGGCAGGGATCCAATACTCTCGCTGCTACTTTGCTGCATTATTGGCTACAGCTTTGGCTCCCTAAATTCATGTTTCTCTGAAGGCCTCTGGTCCACAGCAACAGCCTTCCAAGCACTAAAGAAACACTATCCTCTCCTTGCTTCTTCAATCTAAGGCATGGAATGACTTCCTGCTGTTGTTATTTTCTGGTACCGCAATATCCCTAAGCAGTTGTAAGTAGTCCCTTCATAAAAGTCTCTGACCCATACTGTGTAGGTTCCATTTCCTGCCAAGACTTTGATTAACAAGGTACTACATATTTTACAAAGCCGTTGTACAATCAAAGGAAATAATGCTGGGGAAGGATAAACCAGTGCTTCTCCACCAGGGAATATGTGACACCAAGGGATATTTGGCAGTATCTGACAATGTTTTTGATTGTTAGTATGGAAAGTTGTTACTGGAAACTAGTGGGTAGAGGCCAGGGATACTGCCAAAATCCTACAACTCACAGGACAATGCCCTCAACAAAGAATTATCTGGAGTGAAAAGTCAGTATTGCCCAGTATGAGAAGCCCTGGGTAAGTAATGGGTAAATGCAGTTGTTAATAGCTATACTATGCTAGGATGATCAAAAGGAGGTATTTCTAAATATAGGAAATGGAGACTTGCAGGAAGCTGTAATTCTCAGTTGTGGGAAGGGTAATATTTGAAGCACTGTAATATTTTTCTCTTTATCAATTGAGGACACAGTTCTTTAAAAACTAAGAATCACTGATATACTAGAGAATATTATATACATGTACACATATATATGTATATATGTACACACATACACACACACATATATATTCTCAGAAAATATATAACTTTTCCAAATAATGTAAGTATCTGTTGATTCTAGCAAAAACACTGGTATTTCAGTACCTTTTTTGGGTCACTGGTGATGTTATATCTCAGTAGCGAGGGTGAAGGTTGGAATGATAGATAGCCATAATTTAGTCCTTGCAATGCTCTATAAACTCACTTGAAAATTTCAGAAGCCCACACACCAAAACTCAGCATGCTATATACCCAAACAGTAGAATTAATGACCTATTATGCTGACTCAGTTTGCAGTTCGAGTTAATTCCATTTTTAATGCTCTGGTCTCCCCAAAGACTGAAGATTTCCATTCCAGTGACTTACTAATGGGATGCAAATCCTCAAGAGCCCCAAAACAGATCACTAACTGGGGAAACATGCTGCTCGTATTTGAATCTATTTCATGCCTAGTTGCACTAATTGTCTATTTTTTACTCTACACCCATCACTCTCTACATCTCAATTAATCATAGAAACAGACGGCAAGCTTTTTAGCGTGTGTGGGCCCATGAGAACGTTTTTGTCTTCTAAGATGAAAACCTTGCATAAAAATGATTATTATTATTTAAATGAACACAATCACTATTAAAACAAAGAGGACATGCCTTAACCCTTTTTCTCTTCACTTAAAAGAAACACAACTGAACAATATGAAACAAAACAGGGGGTCTCCTTGGTGGCACAAGGGATTAAGACACAACCTATAAAGCTGTCTGCAGCCACTGCAGCACAAGTTCGATCCCCGGCCAGGGAGCTACCCACATGGCACAGCAGACCTCTCCTGACTTGCCTGCTGCTCCTCTCAGCAGTGTATTTCAGTCATCTGCCAGTTCTGTTTCCCTCTCTGTCAATGTGAATCTTCTCACCCTGCGCCTCTGGCCTGTACCCCAGTTCTAGTACGCATAAATAAATGGATCTTTTAAAAAAATGAAACAAAACATTTGAAGAATGCCTCATGAGTTAACTGTACTCAAATCTTTATCCTCATACTGATCTCCATGATGTAGAATGAAGGGAGACAG